GTGGGTAGTGGGTAGTGGGTAGTGGGTTGTGGTAGTCGTAGTCGTAGTCGTAGTCGTAGTCGTAGTAGTGGTAGTAGTGGTAGTAGTGGTAGTAGTGGTAGTAGTGGTAGTAGTGGTAGTCGTCGTCGTCGTGCCAGTGGTGGTCGTGGTCGCTTGCAAAATGGAATAGAAGCAGTGACCGCGCGCATGGCAATCATCTCTGATAACCTCTTCAAATTCAACACCTGCAAGCCGTGAAAGCCTTCACTTGTTGCAGGTTGCCTCCATGATGACAGGTGGAAGCCAGGACTCACAAGTCTCCTACTGCTATGGTAGCAACAGTGATGTATAGCTTCCCCCCGCCACCAGCCCTCACCACCAGCCCCGGCCACCACAGCCACCACCACCCAGACCATGGCCTATGACAACGGCAGCGGCGAAGATGACTGGTAGCCAACCAATGCGGGTTTCCACGCAAGTTGTCCTCTCTTTAGGATGCCTGTGGAGAGATCTCGTGCAGTTTATTTACGTATTTCAGGGATAACAGGAGACGATTGTTCGTGTGGCTTTATGTAGTATATCTCTTCCGTCCTTTGTATGACGTATGACAAAACATGTAGCTGGCTCAAGCCCGGGCTATAGACGCCCATCCCCAGGAGTGTTTAATCCTGCCCCCTTTAGCCAGAAACATGTCATTCACGTAGGTATTCCTGAGAGGATCCCTTGTAGAAATCTCTGCGACCACTTGTAAAGGCCCCGATCGCCACACCCCCAAATCTAAGCCTTACGTCGTGGGTCCAACCTAGCGGAAGGACGGGCCCAGTGGAATCAGCGTGAACCAGCTGAAGCGCTTCATTACGCCAGAGGCTGTGCATGGGTTCTCTTAAAGATGAGATTAGGTATCTTTGTCTGTCAGATAGAGAGTAGTAAGAGACGTGTTTACAGGGTGATTTTTGCATGTTTGTGCAGATGCGTTAGAAGCATATATTGAACTGATTTGCATCACAAGTTTTGAGTATGTGCTTTCTTTCGCCTGAGAAGTTTGGCAGTATAGGACCCCTTGCTCGGGATAGACAGGTGTAATGGCTTCGAATGGTACAATTGTGTTGTAGGGGTCGGAGGGGGTTTGGGGGTTTATTGGGGAGGCGGGTAACATGTCTTGCCTCACTGGGGTCCAGCTGTCACAACGATTGGAATCTGAGATAGACGGGTTCTCCTAGTTTGTGCCGCAGCCGCATCTTGCAAGATCTCTATGGCTTCCCATTAGAGGTACGAATCTGCAAGCATGTTGACCAATGCAAATCTTGGTGTCCTTTCGTTTGGTGTGGTACCTGTAGTCGGCAGTCCAGTGCTCCTTTCGCTGTTACTGGCAATAGCTACGCTTAAAGTCCCTGGTGCCCGCTTATCGCACCCTGCAAATATCCCCTGGACCCTTAACACCTTCGGAGCCTTATTCAGGACGCATCTCTTTGATGTGCGGCCCTCTCAAAATCCCCTTCTCCCTCGCATTCAACACCCGCCCCTCCGGAGATCAGATGTGTCAGATCCCATGGGAGTAGGCTACGAGCCTCCTTCATTTTGGGGAATAGACTTGAAGCGTGCCAGCACAAGTTTCAAATGCAGCGCGAATCACGATCCAGTTTGGCTTGCCTCATACGCCTCATATGTCGCATAATGCGCGGATCCTATAGTTAGGTTGGTATTATAGTGATGGAGATCACCGCAGGGGGGCCCGTTTTGGCACAGGAATTGTTTGAACGAGACATCTTGCTCATGAATGACATTTCAGAACAGCATACTGTGCATCCTCATGACGCCTGAACCCCGGCTCGCTTTGAGGAAGGGTTCTTATTTTCATGGCAGAAATCCTGCACTGTGCCACGTAGCAGAATTGCCTCCTCAAGGTTTCCTCCACGTGGAGGCCAAGGGTCCCAATACCAAGTTACTCACAGTTGAGGCATACGCATTATAACGATCAGATCTCAGTACTTGCAAGCTTTTTGTGCAGCATACCTGGACCCCACGGAACCTATGTTATGTTGTTGGGGCAAAAGAGAGGACATATATGGCAGTTTCCCAAAATAGGGGGATCCCAATATAGACCCAAAAAACTGTAATCCTTAGTATGAGGACCCCCAGAATGGTACCCCTAAATTTGGGAAACTCCTATATAAGCTAAGTTTAACTTGTTTACAAAAAAGGGAAACTGCCATTTGTAACGTTTGGAAAGGCAGACTTTATAAGTCCATGTCATGCAAAGATCGTTTGCAGGTTCCTGAGCCACGGCAGGCGGGAACCTCAAGTGGAAGCGTCCCAAACTGACACCAGTTTAGTCATAAGGGGACCCAAAACATCACTATGTTTCCTACAAATTCCCATATTGTCCCGTGGTCTCCTCTTTTTTCGAAGCCAACTCTAGGCTTGAGGAATTCGGATATAAGGGCGTGCGGGTCAGGGTGTAGGGTCTGGGGATTGGGATTCAGGGTTTTGCAGGGTTCTAGGGCTTATTCGGGTTTAGGGTGTAGCAGCTAGGATTCACTGGGCTCAGTGATTAGGAAATGGGGTTTTGTAGTGTGAGTTTAGTTCTTCAGGGCTTGTGGTGTCCAAACATAAGGTAACACGATCTAACACACGGGGCAAGGCTCGATTTTGGTGCTCACATTGGGACGACTTCCTAAGTATCCCTGCTCTCTCTCTCCTTACTTACCCCAGTAAGCTAAGGGCATTCTTGAATCATCTCTTCAGGGCTCCTCCCAAGTGAGGAGCTGCAACGCCGAGCAGTCAAGCCATAGCTCCTGAAAGGTCCTGAGGTTTTAGTGTGAGTGTATGACGTGAGGCTTGAAAGGGTTTAGGGTTTGAGGGTTCGGGGTTTGGGGGTTGTTTTGGGGGTTCGCCTGGGGGAAATTTTGCACCGCCTTATACATACTATTGGACGTACAGTGCTACCCGGGTCTTCAGTGCTGCAAGATTTCTCCTCCATCCACCACAGGGCCTCAGTCTCGAAGCTCTACACGGGTCTGAGGGAAAGCTTGGCACTGCC